AAAAAAAAAAAAAAGAACATTTATTTGGATAGTACATGGGTAGGCATGTAGTCTCTATTTTTTAATATTCTGAAAGGAATGTTTGAAAAATAAAGAAATGTATGATCTTTTTAGGAAAATGAGGAAAGCACATATAAAAACGCAGCCAAACCTGACCACAGAGATGATCCCCATCACACTAGTATTCAGTACTAACATGTCTTGATTACAAGCATATTATACTTTTTGCCTACTGTCATGACCATTTAACTGTATCATCAAAAATTACTTAATCAATAAAGTATGTATTAGTTTAATGTGGCATAACACAGTATTCTATTGTGTAGAAATAAAATAAGCTATTCTTAGTTGACATAGCCTGCCCTTTTTAAACTGTAAATATTTATTTTCCTTTATTTTGGATGAAGTGGTTAGTTTAGGAGAAGCAAATTTGGACTATTATTAGCAAGGCTGTTAATAGTTTAAAATGCCACTAAATATCACTGCCAAGTATTTGAAAACTACCATCTAATCAGTCTCCAGATTTCTAAATCCTAGAGTGAATTCTTTGTTCTTCAGTGAGCTTACTTACACATCCAAATAAAACAATAATGCGTATTCACTGAACAAAGTATAAAATATGCCAGATGTCAAGCCCATCTATTTAAATCAATTCCTACAAGGCCAACTTCGGCCTGGTGCCATCCTGGCCCTGTCAGCCACTTCACCACACATAGTTTCCTTGGCTCGTCCTTCCCACAACAATCCTAACAGTTTCCAGGGACTTGTGGTCACTGACACTCCCGAGGCTTTTGAGCTTAGTTAACATTCCATTAACCTAACCAGATCAGATGTTTTTATTTAAAATCAGCCTTCAGCCTAGAAATTGCTCTGCCTTCTAATGAGGCTGCCTGGGGTTTCCATCTTCTGCTCTGATCTCAGAGTTAAGTAATGTTCTCCCTGTACTAAGTGTGACCTCACCTCTCAGTGCTGGGGCTAACATGCCCTCGTGTATAACTACCTGGAGAGACCCCACTTCTCAGCCTCCACAGAGCTGTCCTTGCCTCTCCAGGGGAAGGGCCAAACCAAATTACACCCTGCCCGAGACCAGAGTGTGTTCTCACCTGTTCAACTGTGCAAAAAACATTTAACATCCTGGGTCTCAAGCATACATCTCACAATACCCAAACAGCCAGTGACAGGCTATCAGGTGCCCTGATCGGGTTAGAAAAGTCCTAGAGCCCTGGAGAACTGCCTTCACCTGCCAGCCAGTGGCAGTTATTTTGTGAGAGGACTGGAGAAAAAAAAAGGCAGGAACAGCTCAAAGTCCCTAGAAATGTGTTTATGGAACCATTGTGTTCCCTTGTATGCTCTATTTTACTTTTATTATTTTCTGTTATATTTGTACACAAATACTATTGGAAAGTGGAGGGTTTAGATCTTTTCAAAGAAATCTGCTTAATGATAAAGTTATAGCTATATTTTACAAAAATAAGATAAATTTGAGTGCAACTTTTTAATTCTCTTGGACATTATTACATTAAATGTATTTTCTATAGGAAAATCTGTTCTTCAAGAGACAAATCACTTAACTTATATGAAATATTTATTCACAAACCAAGGACTAAGCGTATTATTCCAATAAACAGATATTTCATCTTAACCAATTATATGCAATTATATGACTGGATTTGCTTCACAAAGTTTTACATAAAAATCAGTACCAGGGGCTGAGGAGATAGTTCAGTAGAATAAGCGCTTGCCTGGTAAGCACAAGGGCCTGAGTTCAACCCCTGATGAAAAAAAAAAAAAATCTGTACCATTTCTTTTTCTCCTTTCTGAAACACCACTATATTCCCATCCTGTCTTCCCTCCTCAGAGCAATCTCTAAATTGTCATTAGTCTTTATGAAGTGACATCTTTGATTATCATGTCATCTTGCCAATAACTAAAAATCTCCACTCTCTCAAAGGTCAGTATCTCCAAATACTGGGACGGTGTTCGGTAAGAATTTCTATAAACACAGCCAATCTGACCCTGGGCCCTCAGGTCATGGAGGTGACTGTCTACAGAAGGCATGGCCGGGCCTACATCCCCATCGCACAAGTTAGAGATGTGTACGAGGTAACAGGTGCGTGGTGCATGCTCTCAGTTAACTGAGGATGAAGCATTTTGTTCTGTAGACCTCAGCAGGCTAAGAAAGGAACAGGAGGGCCAGCCAGATAGCTCAGCAGACTAAAGCACCTGCTTAGGCAGAGTGCGGTGGCTGGGGTTCAATCCCAGCACGCCGTGCTGGCCCTGTCCCCTGGGCACGCTGAGATAGCTACTGAGACTTGGCATGGTGGCATGCACCTGTAATCCCAGCGCTTGGCAGGCTGAAAGCAGGAAAATCACTTTGAGTCCGATCTACATAGTGAGAACTTGTAGACCCTGTAGACCCTGTCCTAAATACATAAAGGAAGGAAGGAAGGGAGGAAGGGAGGGAGGGAGGGAGAGAGGAAGGAAAGGATTAGGACCAAGTATTCTGCGTTAGGTTATAAATCACTTGGGCCCTGGCCCAAGCTCATGTATTTAATTATGTTATATCCCATCTGCTTTCTAGAATGGCTCATGGAAACTCTAGAAAACTTACATATAAAAGGAAAGCTTGATGCTGAGTTACCCCTAATTTTAATCTTTTAACCTAAAATAATTATTGTAGTCCTTTGCTTACAATGAAGCATTATTTTCTCTCTCTCTCTTTGGTATGTCTTTTTAGATCAGATTCCTGTGTTTGTGATCATGTCCCAGAAAAATGATCGAAATGTGTCTGATAAAACATTCCTCAGAGATCTCCCCATCATATTTGATGTCCTGATTCATGATCCCAGCCACTTCCTCAATCAGTCTTCCATTTACTACAAGTGGAACTTTGGAGATAACACTGGCCTATTCATTTCCAACAATCACACCTTGAATCACACCTACGTACTCAATGGAACCTTCAACCTTAACCTCACTGTGCAAGCTGCGGTGCCCGGACCTTGTCCCTCACCTTCCACACTTCCAAACCCCACCCCTTCCTCAGGTAAGCATTCTAGGGATGGTGTCTCGGGGGGATCCCTTAATGGCTAAAAAATTTTTCATGCAGGTCAGCATGGTGAGCCTATGGCATGCACGCAGCCTCAGCTGTTAACATTGAAAGCTCTGAGAGGTTCACCATCACAGGTTTTATTTACTAGTTAGCAGTGCTAGGAATGGAACCCAGGGCCTTCCACACGCTATGCCCTCTACCTATCAGCTGTAAGCCTAGCCTCCTACTAGGAACTTGATAGGGGCTCAGGCCTGGGTGTCAGCGATATAGCACCTGATAGCTGTGTTTGAGGTCCTGGCTTCCATTGTCAGCACCAGCAAATAAGTACATAGACATATAAATAAATGCCTGCTTAAAAGAAATCTGTGGAGACTCTACAATGACTCCACTTTGTACCTGTTCATTTTTAAAAAGCACTTTATGGCCATTTTGAGCTTCTGGAACAAGGAACAAAAGAGGTGTTTTTAAAGTCACTTCGCCAGTAGAATTTGGTGGTCCATAAAAAATGTGTCCATAACCCTCCCATTTTGCATCAGCCCTTGCTCTGTGTATGCATTGCCTGCTGTCTTCTAGCCGATTACGTTTCAGTCTCTCTCCTGGTTTTCAAGGCTGGCTCCGTCTGAAGCATCAGGCCTCTGCTTCCGTCTCTCAGCCCTCTCCCACACTGGTCCTCATTGCCTACCTTGCCCACTCCTATCAGGGTCCATGAAAACCCAGCCAATACTTGCAGGGCTTCCACAGGGCCTGAGAAAGGATGCCACTTGGACTCCTCTGCGAGCAAGTAGGCCACAGCATCTCAGCCATTATAGGGCTGCTTAGGATGGAGTGATGATTCCTCACATACAAACCTCTGTAGATAGTCTGTGAGGATTCCTGAGAAACTCCCAAGAGTCCCCTTTGGGAAGTAGAGGCTTCCATCTGATTCCCCACCCAGCCCCAGATGGGCCCTCCGCCATCTTTCTGTACGCCAGGGTGACATCCTTGAACTGGTCACAAGAAGTCGCCATGATGGAGCCTGGAAGAAACACCCAGTCACCATGTGTAAACTTTTTGTAGCTGTTTTACCAACATCTGTTATTATAAACAATTAACTGTTAAAATGAGATATTGTTAAAGAACACAAACTGAGACATATGTTCTGGTTACAGATTTTTTTTTTTTTAATCTCTTTGCAACAGCGTTTCACTGTGCTATTCAGGCTGGCCTTGAACTGACTTTGTAGCCCAGGCTGGCCTCAAACTTGCAGCAATCCTCCTGCCTCAGCCTCCTGAGTGCTGGAATCAGAGGCATGCACCACCATAACCAACTTCTTCTTCTTCTTCTTCTTCTTCTTCTTCTTCTTCTTCTTCTTCTTCTTCTTCTTCTTCTTCTTCTTCTTCTTCTTCTTCTTCTTCTTTAATTTGTGTGTGTGTGTGTGTGTGTGTGGCCAGCTCAGCCCACCAGGGGGCGGGGCTGGCTGGCATGTGGTGCTGGGGGATTGAACCACAGTCCCTGTGCTTTGCTAAGCTTGTTCTAAGTAGGTGCTTTAGACCATGGAGCCATCTCACCAGCCCCTCTTCTTCTTTTTTTGAAATGTTTTAAATTATAATGTTTATTCATGTTCCCTAGTAAAAAGCCAAGCAAATAAGAGAGAAGTCCAAAGTAAAAGTTTCTAAATCTCAATGACAGGGACAAATCCCAGAGTTGGCGGGGTTTCTTTCCAGATCTTTCTCTGTGCATTTATAAATATATTCAACACATGGACATGGATTTGTTTTGGTTTTTATGTGAATGGATTCATGCTATGCTTAATGTTCTACAATTGTTTTCTGAGTGAGGATGAAGGGTGCTGGGGATTGAACCCAGAGCCTTCACACAGCGCTACATCCTTAACCCATGTATTTACTTATTTGTTTGTCTATGAAACAATCTCATTAAATCACTAAATTGCCCAGACTAGGATCAAACTTGCAATTCTTCTGCCTCAGCCCTATGGAGTTCTAGATCACCAGTGTTGAAACTAAAAATGCACAAACACCATAAATATCTCTTCTTTGTCTGTACTTGTAAATCTACCTCACTTTATTCAATGCTAAATGATGTTCCATAGGACACTTATACTACCATTCGACATTCTCTTATTTATACACAGGTAAATTAGCCCTAAATCTGAACAATATAACCACTGGGAAAATTTAAATGAACAGCTTCATTTTAGTATTTCTGTAGAGAAATGTCTTTATCTTCTAGTATTGTTGATCTTTTTCATAAATTAGAAGTTCAGGTATAAAATTCAGCATAAAGTACAAATACCTTAAATGTTCAGAAATTCCTCAAAGGTAATGGACTTAATGTTAAGTTGCTTAATGTTAGTTTTTTTATACTTGCATTTTTATGAGGCTCATTTGCTTTCCTTAGAAACTATTTCATAGTGTATGTTTAAAATATTTTTAAGTCAATGAAAAGATATTTTAAAATTTCTGTCAACATTTTCCCTAGGTCTGACGGTAAGATATAAGCCAACTACCCTAACAAGTTAGTTGAGTTTTACTGTGAAATATGCTGCTTGGCTTTTTTTACACATTAGACAAAAGTTACGGATAACCATAATCAACCCCAAAATGCCTATTCTGGAAAAAAAAAAAAAAGAAGAAGAAGAATAGCATAAGGAATTTTGTGGTTTTCTAAAGAAAAGCTAGTGATCTTAAGTGCTGTATCAGCTGGTTTTCCCCACAATGTCCATTCCTGAAACTGAAATCAGAATAGGTTCACCAAAAAAAAAGAGGTTCACTTTGGCTCAGGGTTTGCAGAGGTTCAGCCCATCCAGGGCTGGCTGCAACAGAGAAGCAGCTCAGTAGAAGGCTGAGCTGAGGGAAGCTGCTCAACCCAGGTCATCCAGGAAGCAGAGAGGAGAGTGACAAAGGAAGGAGGCCAGGCCAAGATACACCCTTCCATGTCCTTCCAGCCTGGCCCAACTCCTAATAGCACCTTCAGCTATAAACCCATCAATAGACTGACTAATCCAGGGATCCCCAACCTCAGGCCACAGGCCAGTGCTATTCTGTGGCCTCTTAGGAGGTGGGGCTCACAGCAGGAGACCAGTGGATGTGTGTAGCTTCCTCCACATTTACAGCCACTCCCCAAGCATCCTCATTACCGTCTGAGTGTAGCCTCCTGTGGGATCAGCAGCAGTGTTAGATTCTCTTAGGAGCTTGAACCCTGCTATGAACTGCACAATGAGGGATCTGGGGTGAGCACACTTCATCAGAATCTAATTCAATAATAATAGAAATAAATATACCATAAGTGTAATGTGCTTGAATCAACCCAAACCTCTCTCCATCTTCCATGAAACTGGTTCCTGGTACAAAAAAACTTGGAACCACTGGATTAATCCCCTAGTAAGTATATTCTGTATATTCCCCCCATGATTCAGTCTCCTTTAGTGATTCAGTCCTACCTCTGAATACATGAGATTTTGAGGGACATTTGTAGACCTAAACCATAATGAATACTCTCCAGAAACAAACATGGGCTGAGGAGAACATGTCAGCTGAGTAGTGGGCCAGGATGAATGAACATTCCATAAGCACTCCCAGAGGCCCACCATGAACTCAGGAACAATCCTAAGAGCCTGCCACAGCCTGTCCCACTGATAAACCACTGAACTGAGCCCAGGGTACTGTCAGGACCCCTCTGAACTCACCAACATTATTTCCCAATGTGCCATGGAGCTATGTTCTAGAAATATTCTGAGAAGCACCCACAAGTCACAGGAAAGTCACAGGGCATGTCACCTTCAAAGACTGAGATGCCCTTGGGAAGCCCCCTGTGTGACTTCTTCCTTACATATCACAAAGTTAGAAAGGGGGCTCTTTTGAAGTTCTGGCACTCTTCAAAACCTGTCCATTTCAATGCCTTTTGAAATGAAAGAGAAGACAAGATTACATTTTTAGTATCATGTTTTCTTTCATCTTTTCATCTAGTTAAAGCAGTACCAGCACCTTTTAAAATATAACTAGTAGAGCATTCGAGCTTTTTTTTCTCTGATTATATTCAGGACTTATTATTCATGGATTGTATTCACTCTTCTCTTTCCCCCTCTGTGGTAAGCTTTGGACCTATGAGTCATCCAAACAGAAAAGCAATTCCTTTTCTAGATTCTTGGAACAAGGAGACATGTTTATTAAGTACTTCCTGTGCGACAGCCACAGCAGAAACAGGTTTTACATACTTTCTCTCATGGCTGTATGTTGGCTGACATGAAGTAGTAGTCATGTTTTATAGATGAGCAGGCAGAGCCAAGATAGGTTAAATGATGTGCCTATGGCCTCAAACAGCAAGAAACAAGAGGAACAAGAACTTAAGCCTGGAATACTTGCCTCCTAAATTAAAATATGACTTAATCTATCATGGCCCATGTTATTTCATCATAAGCATTGTGTCATATTTTAATATGGCTTCAGCTTTTCATATGCTTTCTGTATTCAAACAAGATATGGGATTATGTTTGGGGTTGAAGGTGTAGCTCAGAGGTAGCATATTTGCCCAGTGTGAGCAAAATCTTCAATCCCAAGCACCTCAAAAAAGAAGGGTTTAGGGACTTGAAGTTCAACATATCAATACTTGATGAAAAATACCTGTTCCATATT